CAGGAAAGACTTAGCACAAACGTACCAAAGCAAAGAGCTTCGCATCCCTGAAGATGATTGTACAACGAAGTAAGGTGCTGAGAAAGATCACTCTTAGGGCAGATCTGCTAGGATGGAAAGGCTGCATCCTGCAAGTGTCTCCACTCCAGAGAGCATAACGGGGGAGCTGCCAGGTACAGCCCCACTGTACTTGAGCAGCCAAATTGGAACTATTCAAGGTTGCAGGAGACACCAATTTTTAGCATCCTAAGCATAGCCAGGAATGGAGCACGCGATGAGAAGACAGGGAACTGGTTCTGCAGCAGAAACCCCAAACCAAACGTGTCCTCTGGAGCTGCGCGGCACCAGTGAGTTGTGATTAATGGGGATGCTGTGTCCCAAAGGAGCTGGGCTCATCTGCCCAGACAAGGGCACCAGGTGTCATCTGAGAGATCCCAGAGCATCCGAGATGTCTGTTACAGGCCAGCAGGTACGACAGCGGGCCTATGAATGACCTGCCTCCATCAGCAGGCAGAGGCTGGGGGGGATATCCTGAGGCCTCTCAAAATGACTCAGGGTGCCTTCGTGTGGGCAGCCGAATCGTGCCCCAGATCTGCACCTCCCAAAATGAAAGCGCAGACCGCAGAGACCTCGACGCTCATGTTTTCTGATTCTGAGCCGAATCCCACTGCAGGAGTCCTGACGGTGTAAACAAAAGATGCCCTCGGCATCGGGAGATGCCTTGGCATCAGGAAACACCGTGCGTAAGACTGCACACAATCGTCCAATTCCTTTCCTCTTACGAGTGTAAATATCCCCAACTCCTGCAAGAGCTGGGAGTGCTAGAACAGGTCACAGCCCCGAGCTGCAATCCTCAGCCAAAAGTAGCACAGGAGGGGTCAGGCTGAGGGTCCTTTCACCCCAGCATCCCCTCTGCGGCAGTGGTCAAACCCAGATGCCTAGGGGAGAACAGAGAATAAAATAAGCATACAGTGATACTTCCTTAAAATAATCTATCTTTTAGGTATAATCTACAATCTATTTTTATACTAAACTTGCAGTTAAGGAATTTCCTGAGTCAGAGGCAATGTTTTTCTGTTGAACAGCCTTCAACGGGTTTTTCTTCCAAGAATTTACCCATCTCCTCTGATCAGCGCGATCCACTGCCGGGCTAAATTTGTGACTTCCCTGAAGCCCAGGTTCCTCCCACTCATCCCGCTGTTGCCAATTTAGGCTCTGATGAAGACCACCTACCACATTCCCTGCCAGTGGGCCAGCTCCTGGATTCAGGGCCAGAAGAAGCCCTGAACGTTGAGAAGCTCAATATTTCTGTGACACCCCAGCTCTCTCACACAGCTGGCAGCTTCCACTGTTTGTTATGAACCTCTGATCGCTGGATCATGAAGCTTACTCATTTTTTTTTTTTTTTGTGTCTTTCCCAAAACTGAGTCTTCAGAGTGCGTTCTTGATTAGGAAGAATGGTAAGAGTATGGGAAAGTGCTCAGTCGCTTCTTGGTCCGTCTCTCTACACAGATGAATTTCTACACCTTCACTTATTCCCATGAGTAATAGGAAATGGGATTTATTATTCTTTCATCACTAACCCTGTAAACTGTAACACAGGACTTGAGTGGAGTCTCTGGCTTTGGAAATCCTTCAACAATGAACTTCCCCTTCTGATGACAGCTGGCTTCCCCCTGAATTTCTGTGATTGTGAAGAACACGAAGAGTCTATAAAGAACACGTTAATCAAAACAGCACTAGGACCTTCACACTCCTCACTGACCTATCTCAATTTTTTTCAGTTTGCAAGGAAATTTTTTTCCCTTCCATTATCCAGTTCCATACATCCCTCATCTCCACCTGCAAATACCTAGAATCGTAGAATCGTTTAGGTTGGAAAGACCTTTAAGATCATCAAGTCCAACCGTTCCCCTGACCCTGCCATCCCACCACTAAACCCTGTCCCTAAGCACCTCATCTGCCCAGCTTTTAAATCCCTCCTCTCACACCAGACCCACACATCACGATTTGCACGCCATCCCGTGTCCGTGCAAGCTGCCTCCTGGCTGACCTGGCCCAAAGCATCCTTTGACAGGCAGAAAATGTATTATTGAAGGTTTGGGATAAGATGAGGCCCCGGATTACTTTGCAGGGCTTACAGTCAGCAGAAATGAGGCTCCCATAAAAACACCGAGGAGGCCACGCCACAGTCTGCGAAGGGCTTTTCTGTCTGCGTGGGATTTTTCCTTACCAGCGGCTCCCGGCACGGAGCAGCCAAGGCCAAGGCAAGCAGCATGCCCTCTCCCGCGCACCAAGGCA